GACTGCTGCTACAGCAAAAATGATATTTACAAAGATAAAAAATAGCGCCCTGGCATCTATTGGCCCTTAATGAAGATTGTCACATATCGTAGCAGTAGTAATACCATTACTATATATACTGTGTGTACACTTCCTGTACCTGAAATTGTAACAATCTATTTAAATGGAGGACGGAACTCAGCTGCGGAGTCACGTTCAATCTCACGTGCTCGGGCACAGGAGTAGGTGCTGGTAAGCAAAAACGAACCAAACAGTCTCAGAGCATCATAGTACCGCCTCTAGTACAATCTGACTACTCTGACTAACAAAAGAGTGATGTGTGGTGGAGAACGGGATTGCTCAAGGTGAATAAGTGTTTGTATGTTACGTCACATATGTCACTTAAACGGTTATCCTTGATTTAACACAGTCCTATAGTATCAACAGGTAATTTCAGATAGATCCAGCAGGTGGCAGTAGAGGCCGCCTACTCACTGCAGACAGATAGGATTTAGTCTACATAGGCGATGTTACAGCCTCTCTAGTCCGTTGAACCAGAGGGCGGATACTTGCTGTTAGGAGCTTCCGAAGTGAGAGGCAAGGAGGCACGGAGGAGACCGGGTTCAGCAGGGCTAGGGGGCCCGATCCAGAGTCCAGGTATGAGGAGAGTGCTGCGGTCGCTTCCCGTATCCGTCTGGCGTTCCTATCAGGATATTGGAACGCCAGACTTCCGTATTGCTGCCGCTTATGATGCGGCGGGGGGAGTTCCCTGATGACGTCGGCGGACCGGGGGCGGAGGAATCCCTCGAGTCCGTGAGGCTGCACGGCCGGATCTGAGGGGGATGTGACAGAAATTCATTCACAATCAGCAATAGGCCAGAATGGGGAGGTAGAAATACCAGGCACAATGTAACTAAAATGTTTTCGGAAGGTATACTTATAAACAATATAAAGCCAAAGCCATCAACTTTATACAAATTGCCAAACAGTGGCAAATATTTAATACCAAAGCTTGTGACCTTCTTTTCACTACTATACAGCGTTGTCTACAAAATTGATAAAAATGTCAGCACAAAAACACTTAAAAACCAAAAGAACAAGTTACAGAGATGAGGAAGTTGTTATGCCGTAATAAAAACCAAAATGACAAAGCCCTATTTCAGATACGACAGGGAAACATACAGCACAGTAGCTGGAGACCATGTAAGCAGCTTGATTGGGCAGCAATGTCAGAGGGAGAGACAAGTCACTTCTTATCAAGATTTATTTCAAAGACAACAGCCAAAAATATTGTACTGTACATGATCTCACTGCACATTATGTATCAGTATTACTGGACTACTGTGTAAGAGGAAGAGATGAGGTAGAGGAAACAAATGACAGAGTGAAGTGCCAGAAATATTGCACTGATGCACTGCACAACATGTAAGCATTGTTACTAGGCCACACTTAAAGGAGAGGCTATGCAAATGTTATCAATGAAAAATCACAGTGTCTTTTTTCTGTGACTTAAGACAGAACAACTGAACACATTTGCAGGACAAACGTTCGTCATTTTTGACTGGTCGCTATTTCAGAGGAAGAGAGTGAGCAGACTGCTTGTGGAAATAAAAAAACAAACAAATATATCTTTCTTCAGAGACTGAAGGTGGAAACATTTTACAATTTTGCCGCACATATTTAAAAGCGCTTTGCACAGGTTGTTCAGCCAGAGGACGCAAGCAAGCAGATTGTATCTGGAAATAAAAGAAATTCTCTTTTTTTAGTTATATTTATTTGAAAAGCTATTTCTAGAGAGTAGAGACATATATCAGCTATAATATTAATTACAGTTGATGAGACAGAATATAACAATTGTACAGGTTTGCTGCGCAGAATCTAATCATTTTAATAGGAGGCAATTCCAGAGGGAGAGAGCAAGCAGACTGTAATGAACAAATAATATTGCATTCGTTCCCTGAAATAGGAGAAACATGTTGCACAGATTATCAGCACAGTTCTAGGTGTCTCTATAGGCCAACAACTTTTAGGACAATAGGACATACCTGGGGTTACAGCAGGAGCACAACTACTGCAGATGTGATCTTGGTATTATTTTCTTAAGCAAAGTGCTTCAAAGTACAAGTGACTACAGGGTGGCTGTTGGTCCTCCTGGGTGGTCTATGAAGGTCCCCCCCCCCCCCCCCCATTGTTCCTGGTGCTCTCCACCCCGCCTCGG